CTGCTACAGACAGACCTGCGCTTATTCAGCTGTCTCTGCTGCTGCTACAGACAGACCTGCGCTTATTCAGCTGTCTCTGCTGCTGCTACAGACAGACCTGCGCTTATTCAGCTGTCTCTGCTGCTGCTACAGACAGACCTGTCTCTGCTGCTGCTACGGACAGACCAGTCTCTGCTGCCTTGCTATACGGACAGACCTGATCTTGCTGCTGCTACAGACAGACCTGTCCTGCTGCTGCTACAGACAGACCGTCTCTGCTGTGCTACAGACAGACCTGTCTCTGCTGCTGCCCCTACAGACAGAATGTCTCTGCTGCTGTACAGAACAGAACCTGTCTCGTTGCTGCTGCTACAAACAGGACCTGTTCTTCTGCTGCTGCTACAGACAGACCTGTCTCTGCTGCTGCTACAGACAGACCTGTCTCTGCTGCTGCTACAGACAGACCTGTCTCTGCTGCTGCTACAGGTCTGTCTGTAGCAGCAGCAGAGACAGGTCTGTCTGTAGCAGCAGCAGAGACAGCTGAATAAGCGCAGGTCTGTCTGTAGCAGAATATCTACACTGAGAATGAAACCATGTTGTTTGTACACAATGTGATCACCTGTTGCGACTGTTGCAGCTGCTCTTGGAGAAACAGGCAGAGCAGGCGATACTGGAACGACAGAAGCATTACCTTGAGGAGCACAGGCAGGAGCAGCAGATGCTTGAGCAACAGCAGAGGGCGTTACTGGAACGACAGCGGGAGGATCAAGCGAGGATGAGGCAGCAGCAATTCATGGAGCAACAGCAGCGGATTCAGCAACAACAGCAGCAGCAACAACAGCAGCAGCAACGACAACAGCAACAACAGCAGCAGCAGCAGCAGCAACAACAACAACAACAGCAACAGCAGCAGCAACAACAGCAACAGCAGCAGCAGAAACAGCAGCAGCAGCTTGGACCACCGAGATTCGGTATTCATTTTTACATCAATGTATTCTAATGCTTAATGTACATTCTATTAAATTTTGTTGTTGTGATATTTATAGGCATGGCTGAAAGTGTTGGTCATAAGCACTGGAAATAAGTGTTGATGTCATTGACTGATGTACCTAGTGTCTCGTGTTAATATAGACAGAGGCCATTTTGCACGAACGTTTGCATTTGCTTTGTTAACTTTTCTATGTTAGCTTATGTATTGCGTTTATCGTTCATCACTTAGGACAAGTAGGAGGGCCTCCACCCCCAGTGCAAGAAAGGGGTGAGAAAGGGGGAGCTAGACTACCATCCCTGATGATGATGGACATACATCCAACCCGGGAGTTAGAGTTCAGAGAGGGTAAGTATATATAACACAGAGTCCGAACCACAAGGTGAATCCATTTATTATGAAATTTGACCAAAAAGTTATTTTAGTCACTTGCCTCCAAGTAATTGTTCCTTACCATGCTCTCTACCGTTCTTCTGTTAGTTCAGCGATGGGAGATAGTTGAAACCTAGTTGACAGTTTAACTATTTTTCCTCATGTTTTGCAGAGGATAATGAATCTCAGAAGCCCATAATTTTACCACATGCACTGGAGAAGGTTCTTGCATTCAAGACAGAGCGAGCATACCAAGTCGGTGAGTCTTCCCAATGCAGCCTAGACCAGCTTCTGTCTCATAGTAACAGTGTTTATACCACGACATCTTCGACATGTGCGAAAAGAATTCGTAACTTCATATCTTTTCTGCAGGCGTTGATCCCAATGAGGCCCTCCCAGAAAATCTACAAGCAAGAGAAAGGGCTGAACTGGAAGAGGAGGAAGATGAGATTGCTGAGAGAGAGGTAGACCTTCGTTATGAGGACAATCTACAGACTGCGCCAGTCGCCCAGGAAACGAGTAAGGAGGTAAGTTACTGATGATGGTGAGAGTACTTTTTTACCCAGCTCTTTTGTGCTCATCTTTCCATCTTGTCAACGCACGGCCAAAGCTAATTTCGTTATTTCTCTTCGGAATGCCACTTCAGTTGTGCACCAGTTCTCTTTAAGCTGCTGCGCCCATTATCAAGTAATGTATACAAAACGTGTGTGTTATCAGTCGAAGAACAAGAAGAGAAAGAAGAAAAAGAAGAAGAAGAAGAATAGACTGCAGCAAGAAGAGAGGATAGATGACCAGGATGACCAATCTGACCCCGAACCTGACGTGGAAGTGGAGTACGCTAGTTTTTTCTAACTATACACAATGAGTCTCATCAGTGTCATTGGGATTGGATTGTCATAGAACCACTTTTACGTGGTGAAATTTGACACTCATGTTTACTCTTAGGCCTTGTCATGTCAGTCAGTCATGTGGAACTACTGAAGGTTATTATCAGGAGTACGTTCTTACTATTCATCATTGCTGCGGTCTTCCTCCTGCAGGTATATTCAGGACACGCTAGACCTGAATCCAAGCGATCCTGGATATCGACACTTCATGAAGATATTCGAAGCGTTCAAGGTACTATTCGTAACAGCCATGAAATCTATCTCCATGATATAATTATATGTGGTAGCACAGCACCGATGTGATGTCTATGAAGCGAATGACTAATTGTACTTTGTAAGCTGTGACCAGTGCTACCAGTGGACTAACCACTGTAGTATTTACTGTGAAAGCAGCTGCGTGGCCTCGAGTTAAGGAAACGGAGATAGGCACCACCCTATGCGCCACAGAGGCGCGGGAAGGATTTAACTTTAAGCTGTGACCACAACACAATAAAAAAGTTTATTGTAGCATCCTTATAAACAGTTGGTTGAAGACTCGCTTAATTTGACGTCTTATGCCCGATATTTCTTACAGCTAAGTGAACCAGTTGAACCTGTGATAGAAGAAGTGAGAAAGCCAGGGGAAGTGAAGAGGGAAGAACCTGCAGACCCTATGAGGGACAAGGCACCGAAAGAGTTGTTCGAGGAAGATGATGATGAGGTTACCTAACTAGCGTCTATGCAAATTTTCTTTCTCTCTGCCGTAGATGACAATAGTGTTTGTCTTTTATACTTTATATAGTTTTATATGTTATTGTATCCCTCGCGACAAAGTCGGCGGGGATACTAGGGTTTCATGTCTGTACAGCCGCCGCTCGGTCCGCCGCAGAGAATTTCCCTTCCACTCTATAACTCGACCCCTAATTGACCTAGCGCTACCAAACTTGGTATACATCTTGGGGAGAAGGTGGGCAGCGTACCAAAACCAGGTCACTGCGACCATTATTTGACCTTTACCTTGACCTTGATCATATTTCCCTTCCATATTCGCATCTATAATCTGCAATTCCTAATGGTTAGCAAGGGTGGTTGGCATCGTAGTAGTCGTAATTTTTCCTCATTGAATTTTTTCCGTCTGCAGACAAGAAGAGCTAAAGTTGCTGTTGGAGCAGAAGGCTTTGGAGATGCAGGAGAAGGAAGAGCAGGGGAAGAAACAGAAGGAGCAGGAGCAGAAGCTGCGTGAAGAGCAGCGATCCATGCAGGAGCAGCTGTCACGCATGCAGGATGAGGAGAGAAAGCGCAAGGAGCAGGTGAGAGAGGCTGCCTGATTCACACTGACATGCAGAGACGAGAGGCATGTGTGCAGTACCGTAGTAATAGTTACGAAAGCTTGCGTAATATTGAAAAAGAAATGAACTTGTGGTATAAGTTACAAACATCACGTGATATGTGGGTAGGGAAATTCGTCTAATGTCGCAGTCATCTATGCAACTCTGCTTTGAACGTCGGTCGTAGGCAGTGTGAGAGGAGTGTGTGATTTGCAACAATTATTACACATCCCTAATGCATAGGTTCTAACCTGAAACTCAAGAACACTTTGTTGACAACTTACTAATGGGATGTTAACGATGAGTTTCACACTAGTAGTGACGGTCGCTCATTCCACGGTGCACGGGTTCCGACTTGGAATCTTGCCCACACGTCGTTAAGCATCGTTAACGGAGACGAGTGTGTTGTAGTCGATGAGGGATGAGGAACATCTGCAGCAGCTGGTTACCGAGCAGCGCGTCATGCTAGAGGAACAGGACAAACAGCGCAGGCATTTCGAGGAGCAGCAGCAGCGGCTGCGCAACCAGCAGGCCGAGATCGACTTCCAGCTGCAGCAGCAAGTGTTTCAGGTACGTGGTACTGGGTGCTTCAGGCTTCGCCTTTTCACGGTGCCGATCGGCCCAAGCCCTGTAAACAGCCCCATCTCCGGTATCCACGGGGCTTTTTTTCCCCCAGTCTCCCAAATTTTGAGATTCTGAGAATCGAAAACGAAAATCAGCCCCATCTAGAGAAAATCAGCCCCATCGAGTCTCAAATGTGATATGTACCAAAAAAAATTCGAAGTCATGTAATACTACCATAATATATTCTGTTATACATTTGTTTGATATCGGTTTAAGAGCTATTTCAAGAGCTAGTGTTATGCTGTATGTCTGGTAGCGGTGAAAATAAATATTTCTTACTTACCTACTTAGCTACTTACTTACTTACTTACTTACTTACATACTTACTTACTTACTTACTTTAACTTACTTACTTGACTTACTTACTTACTACTTACTTACCTACTTACTTACTTGACATACTTACTTACTTACTTACCTTACTTAACTTACCTACTTTACTCTATAACTTACTTTACGCCTACTTAGCTTACTTACATACTTACTTACTTACCCTACTTACTTACTTACTTACTTACGATACTTACTACTTACTTACCTTTACTTAACCTACTTACTCTACTTACTGGTACTTACTCTGCTTACTTACTTACTACATAGCATACTGTACTACGCCTCTTACGTTACTTTACTTACTACTTAACTTACTTACCCTACCTACTGTAACTTACTTACTACTTACCATACTTACTTACTACTTACATACTTACTACTTAAACATACTTTGCTTACTTACTTTACTTAACTTGCTTACGTACTTACTTACTTACCTATTACTAATACTTACTGTACATACTTACTACTTACATACTACTTACTTACTTGGTACTACTTACTTACTTACTTACTCAAACTTACTTACTTAACTTACTTACTACTTACTTACTTACTTACAACTTACTTATACTTACCTAACTTACTACACCTTACCTACCTACTTACTTACTTACTTACTTACTTACGTTACTTACACTTACTTATACTAACTTACGCTAACTTACTTACTTACCTACCTACTTATCTTTACTTACTTAGACTACTTACTTACGGCTTATACTTACTAAAGCAACTTGGCTTACTTACTTACTTCTTACATTACTTTTACTTACTTACACCACTTACTTACTTACTTGACATACTTACTTACTTACATACTTACTCTACTTACTTAGCCTACTTTACTTACTTACTTACTTACCTACTTAACTTACTTACTTACTTAACTAACTTACCTTACTTAGCTTACTAGATCTTAACTTACTGTACTTACTTACTAACTTACCTACTTACTTTACTTAGCCTACCTAACTTACTTACTTACTTGTACTTACTTACTTACTTACATACTACTTACTAACTTACCTACTTACTCTTACCTTACCCTCACTTCTTACTTACTGACTAACTAACTCTTCTCAATACACTAACTACTTACTCTATTAAACATACTTACTTACTTACTTACTTACTTACTACTTACTTACTTACATACTTACTTACTTACTTAATCTTATATACTTACGTTACTTACTTACTCTACATTACTTACTTACCTACTTACTTAACATACTTACTTTACTTCACTTACTTAGTTACCTACTTACCTACTTACTGCTATACTTGCTTACTGCTTACTTACTTACTGTACTTACTTAACTTAACATACTTACGTTACTACTTACTTACTTACTTACTTACTAACTTACTTACTTACCTACCTACTTACTTACTTACTGTACTTCCTACTTACTATACTTACGTTACATACTTACATACATTACTAAGAACTACTTGCTTAACTTACTACTTACTTACTTACTTACTATACTTACTTACTTACTTACTACTTACACTAACTTACTTACTTACATACACTACTTACTACTTACCTACTTACTTTATCTTACTACTTACTAGACTACTTACTTACTTGCTATCACTTACTTACTTACGTGTACTTACTAACATTACACTACTTACTACTTACCTACTACTCTTAGCTACTACTTACTTATCTTACTTACTTACTTACTTACATACTTACTTACTAACTTACCTACTTACTTATTACCTACCTACTTACTTACTTAACTTAACTACTTACTTACATACTTACTAAACATACTTGCTTACTTACTTGTACTTACTACTCTACTACTTACTAGCTACTTACCTACTACCTTAGCTTACTTACAGACTTACTTACTTACATACTTATTACGTCTACTAACTTTTACACCTACTTACTTACTTACTTACTTACTTACTTAACTTATACTTACTTTGACTACTTACTTACATTACCCTACTACTTACTATCGTACTTACCTACTACTTACTAACGTTAACTTACTACTTACTACTTACTAACTTACCTTACTACTTACTTACCTACCTACTTACGTTACTTACTTACTTACTTACTTACTTACATACTTACTTACTAACTTACCCTAGCTTATTATCTTACCTACCTACCTTACTTACTTCTTAACTGACTACCTTTTACATACTTACTAAAATATACTTATACTTACCTTACTTGTACTTACTTACTTACATTACTTACTCCTTATTACCCTAACTTATATACTTACTTACATACTTACTTACTTAACTACTTACTTACTGCAACTTTACCTACCTACTTACTTAGGACTACTACTGACTCTACTACTACATCTACTTTACGTTACTTACTTACCTTACTTACATTACTTACTCTTACAATTTTGCAGCAGCGGCAGATGCTGGAAGGAGGAGAACCGCGGACAGGAGTGCAGTGCAGCATCAGTGCGATGCCAGAGCGTCAGCCGCGAAGCTCTCGGCGACGCGCAGCAGCAGCAGTGGATGGAGACCGAGCGAAGTCGGCACGCAGCATGGACAGTTGCCAACCAGCAGCTGCTGCAGAAGCCAGCTGGAGCGGCACACGGCTGATCCAGGCTGAGAGCCATCCGCAATCCTCGCAGCAGTCAGAGACAGGTGAGGGAGCGAGGGTCCTGTCTGTTAGCAGCGAGCAGAGACAGGTCTGTAGCAGCCAGCAGAGACAGGTGAGGCACGAGGGTCTGTCTGTAGCAGCAGTACATGTATGTCTGTAGCAGCAGTACATGTATGTCTGTAGCAGCAGAGCAGAGACAGGGTGCAGGCAGACGGAAGGGTCTGTCCTGTAGCGCAGACAGGCGTAGACAGCGTAGCAGAAGCAGGTAAGGTTGCAGGCAGCGAGGCGTTAGCTCTTCTTAGCAGCAGCAGCAGACAGGTCATGTAGCAGCAGCAGAGACAGGTGAGCACGCAGCGAGGGTCTGTCTGAGCAGCAGCAGAGACAGGTCTGGTAGCAGCAGCAGAGGACAGGTGAGGCAGCGAGGTGTCGCCTCTGTAGCAGCAGCAGAGACAGGTCTGTAGGCAAGCAGAGAGACAGGGTCTTTAAGCAGCAGCAGGCAGAGACAGGTCTGCTCAGCAGCAGCAGATGACAGGGTCTGTCTGGTAGCAGCAGCAGAGGACAGGTCTGTCTGATAGCAGCAGCAGAGGGAGTTTTGGTCGCTTAGCCAGCAGCAGAGGACAGTCCTGTAGCAGCGCAGAGACAGGTCTGTAGCAGCGCAGCAGAGACATGTGCTGCTAGCAGCACAGAGACAGGTCTGTAGGCAGAGCAGAGACCAGTCTGTCTGCAGCAGCAGCAGAGACAGGCTGTCCTGCAGAAGACCAGTCTGTCTGCTAGCAGCAGCAGAGACAGAGGTCTGTCTGAAGGGCAGCAGGCAACAGGTACAGTGTCGTG